TTTTAAACCGTAACTTATGTCAACAATATGTATTATACTATTATTCAGTAAGTCAATGATATTGAAATTTTAAATTCATAAAAGAAGACCAAAATAATATATTGATATATTGTATACACACACACACACACACAAACCTTGTGCTATGTATACTAAAAAGTAAAACACTAAAAGGTACAAAGAGATCAAATAACGTCGTACAAAAATCGCATTTAGTCGTGGTGTGCAATGAACTTAACGTAGTGTCAGGGGATAAAGTTTGCTCCACAACGTACGAAATGGCCACTATGACAAACATATTAGAATATTGAAAATCATATAAAGGACATTTTAGTGGTGTACGTAACAAAAAGAAGGCTAAACAAATAAAATTTCTTTTTTGGCAATCATGGGTTTTTGGGTCAATTTATACATTCTTTGAATAATTATGGGATCCTGAAGTTAACAGTCAAACAAACTTTAACTAACTTTGAAAGAATTTAAACTAGTCATCAATTGAGAACAAATTCAACAAACACAAGGAATGGCCTGTTGAGCTACCTCGAACCTTAGCAAATAATAATTTACAAAAACAAAGTACTTAATCAAATGATCAAAATAAACAAACATTTAATTTGAGGATCGACAAAAAGGACATCACGCATAAATTTCACGCTCTATGATAAATTAAGGGCCATTTACCAACGTTAACTGGATAAACGTTTAACCAACAAAAATTCACTATCTGCATTTACTTTATCAGATAAGATTATCGACCACCAAAATAACATAGTAAAACTGTTTGTAAACATCTTTTACACAATAAATACTAACCAAGTAAGATTCTAATGCCTCTTACCCGTTAAGATTCACGATCATTATAATGTTCACCAAAATAAATGACCCAATTAACGTTTGTTTAATGTATGATAATAAACCATAACTTTAAACTCTGAAATTATTAAATCACAAAGCTTTTGAAAATAAAAAAAATTTATAGTTGGATGATTGAGATATCTTACACCCATTTATTTAAAATTTCAATTTGAGTTTTAGTGAATAACTTTTTGGTGATAAAGATCAAGTGTATTTTAAGTCATTGTAATTTCAAAAAATTCGACCCTTTGTTTCAATAATCCATCTCTTAATATATATATATATATATATATATATATATATATATATATATATATATATACACACACACACATACTAAAACAGTATCACAATGCATCAAGATACATCTCTCTATTTTATTATTTGTCTTTGTCGATGTTATAATACGATTTTATGTGTTTTTAAGAAAGCAATAATGATTTTATTTTTGAATAAATATAAATTTGAAAATATCATAAAAATTTAAAAAAAAATATCAATGTTAATATCAAAATCAGCTATTTAAAAGTTCTCATTTTTTATGTAATTTCTTTAATTTATTTTTTTATTATAATTTAATTTAAGTTTAATAACAAAATAATTTATTTTTGGTTTAATAATATAACATTTTATAAAAATAATAATTAAGTATATGTTAGAACTCAATGATTATCCTAATTATATTTTAAAATTTTTATATTTAAAATGAGATGTTTATCCTATATTTGATTATGTTTATCTGCAGTTAGTTACATGAATTCATATATGGAGCTTTAATAAGTTGTATTTACGCACAATCTACTTGCAATATCAAGTTTTAAGTAATATGAATTAATAAACAGTACTTTACGCATAAAAATGGTTTTTAAGAGTTTTTGTCAAATATTTTATAATATAGTATAGATATATCTCTTAAAAAATATACATATATATAATTGGTTTTTATATAAAAGAAAAAGATTTATGTTGTATATTTTGATTTCATTATTGATGAAGGGGGAAGCATAAAGTAGGATTTATGATTAGGATTAATTGGACGTGCATTAATTAAGGGTAATTCCTTTGAAAAAGGCGAGTTCCAGCAACGAGTCAAAATCAAGAAATAGATCATGTGAATCTGGTCAAAGCTTGGCAGTTGGCACCACCCCCCATTTTAAATTTGAATCAGATTTGATCTCCTTAAATTATTTTAAATCTAAATTATTACACCCATTTCCCAACTGTTCACTATTTTTTTAATCCTAAAATAAACATATACCATACATTTAAGTTTGTTTTATTTCATTTAAGAAAATTGATCAATTTTTATATATTTAAATTGGTCTTTTAATCATCTTTTTCTTATGTCTATCCAAATGTCATTACTTTCAAATATCCAAGTCTGTAATATTAGCTAAAAAATAAAAAAGTCAAATTCAACCATTTTACCGTCACAATTACGGATCTAGCCGTCGCAGTTGTAGATTTGTGTTGAATTTGATTTTTTTTGTTTTTTAAATAATATTGCGAACCTAGCTAATATTAAGGAACCGGATACAATGAAAGTAGTGACATTTGGTTAAACCCGGAAAAAAAATGATCATAAAACCTAACTAAGTATGAGAAATAGTCATTTAAGTCAATTTTCATGGTTTTTACTATATTAAATTTCAAGTATTTAATTAACAACATCCAATGAGATGTTGTTGTAATATGTAATATTTTATTCATTGTAAACAATATAATATTTTCTTATAAATAACTTGAAAATTAAATCTTTTTTATTTTAAATATTTGCTTTAATAATCGACGTCGTTGATAATTTATAGGTTAATGGTTATCTGATAGCTTTTATATTAAGTCTTATATAGATAAAAAATTTAAATAAACTAATCTTTATGTATAAATTAAAAAATTAAAAAAAAATTATTTATAGATGAAATGAACGTGTTTTTTGATTTTAAAATAAAAACTTCTACAAAAAAATTTAGATTTATATATAAAACCATTTTTAAAGAATTTAATAAATAAATTATTATATATAGTATTAAAGTTATTACAAAATATTTATATGTAACTGAATAAATAAAATGTAAATCACATTAAACTGCTGATAAAGTCGCTCACAAATGATTTTTAATTAAAAATATTTCTTTAATTAAAATAATTAGTGATTTAAAAAAATAGAATGGTTTATTAAGGAAGAAAAAACATTATTTAATTGAAAAGGATAAAACAAGGTAACGTGTCAGAAAATAAATGGAGGAAAGTGGGGTGCGTCTTGGACCGGGCACAAAAGTTTCAGTCAAACAAAAGACCAGATATGGCCGAACCCAGTACAGTCAAACCAACACACTGTCATGGTCAAGCTGTTCCCTCCTTTTTTATATTTTTATATAAAAAATAATAAACACAAAACCATGGACCCCACCGCTTCCAACTTTTATCACTGTATAATATTCCTTTAATTTCCTTTATTTTCAGCTATACCCCTCAACTTTTTTCATATTGGCAAAAGTGGCCACTTTTGTGTGAAAACTCTACATTTCCCCCAAATCAACTGTAAGCATGTCTAATTGGTTGATATTTCTTCAAAATATTCTAGAGTTTAAAACTCGTCTTAATTTTTACATAATTGCGACAAATTTTGTATTTAATTATATGTGTTTTCAGATGCTTATGGAAAATTTGGTATACAAGTGATGTATGAGATTTTGAGTTCGATAAGAATCATTGCTGACACCAAGAAAAATTGAATTTTTATATTGATTTTATTAAATTAAAATAAAAGGTATATACCATTGGAAATGATGCTTGATACTATCAAACGAATAACTCAGTCTTATAAAGGATATAATTCTCTGCACTATGTGAGTAAATATATAAATAGTATTATTATTGTATAGAAAGGGACAAAACCTACCATAAACTAGGGTTTTTATTTACGTGAAGTAGGTAATAACAAGTTAAACACGTAACAACAACAATATTCACATGGAATCTTCAATGAATCCAAATTAATAAAAGCTTGTCAGCACCAAAATTTGTGTCGATAATCTAGATGTTGTTAACGACAACCAACACATATTATTCGATTATGATCAAATATTTATGTGTCTTTTAGCAACAATACTTTTTATGAAATAAAATTAACGAAACGAACTTGTAATGATGCAAATAGGAACATGCTTTGTTTAATCTAGCTTCAACATTATTAAAGAAACTAAGCAATTTAAAAGAAAAACTGACCTAAAAAATCGTTTCTTTTTTTATGTTAGCTGTAAATTTGACATGCAAAACCATATATTTTATTAGAAAATAAAAAAAAAGGAGGAAAAAAACCATCTAAGTAGTTGAAATTGTTAGTGTATATCCCAATCAAATTAATGAAGTTTAGGGTATGTGACTGAATTTTACATCTAGAAAAGGGAACGTGTTTGATAATGAAAATAGTGAAAGTGGAAGGGTCAGTAATGAAAATATTTGTTGAAGAATATTTAGCCCTTGACATTGAGATGTGTTATCTGGAAGGGTGTTTCGAGATATTCTCACTTTTTTACAGCCTTGGTTCGTGCGGGTTAACCCAGTCCTCGTGCGCCGTTACTGTTGACAACTTGACTACTAAATGAGCCGGCTTCTCACGTGCGCCTGATGCAATTACCGTTTTACCCTTGCTTATTATTTCAAAATGGATATAAAATAAGAGACAGAAATTGGCTGATGAAGTTTTGTTTTTTGCTTAAGGAGTTTAATGAAATGATTTATTTTTAAACAATATTAGAAATTGTTAAATTATGTATCCATTATTTATGCAAATCCATTTGTTATTTTATATAAGTTTGAAAGAAAAAAAAACAGGTTTTCATAAAATTGTATACAAATTCAGTGGGGGTTAATATGTCATTTGACGATGAATAAGTTGGAAGAAGTGGACACGTGGTAGCATGAACACGTGCGGAGCGGGTTAAAGGGCTGGTTTACCGGCCCCATTCTTCACCCCTTTCCGGTTCGCCAAAACCCACAAAATTGAAGCAAAAGGAAAGATTTAATAATCTTTGTTAGTATTGCTGTGTGTGTGAGGGCATTGAACAATTGCCCCAAAAGCAGAGCTCCGAAGGGGAGGTTTTCAATCCCTTCTCTCTCTCATCACTGATTTTTCTGTTTCTTTATCGGGTACTTGTCGATAATTCAGTCTCAATCTTTTGAAGACTCAAACTCTGCAGGTTCTTCCAATCTGTGTCTCTTTGATTTTCATAATTTATTTGGAAATTCCCTTTTTGATTCTTTTATTTTTAACCCTACTTTAAAAAAGTATATGGATCTTTGTGTGGTCTAATTATTTATTCATTGACTGTTCTGCTATTGGTTTGATGATTCAAACCTTTTAAAGCTTTGAATAGGACGTGAAACACTTTGATTTTAGGGAAGAGGGTATTATTATTATTATGCTCTTCTTTCTCTCTCTATCATTTTTGTTGTGATGGTGATGAGTCTTTTGACCGAAGAAAAAGGAGAGAAATCAGTTAAAGTGAATCAGACTCTATTAGAGGAGGAGAGAGAAAGGAAACAAGAAGAAAAGACCCACATTTCTTTGAGTGATTGTTAATGAAAGATGGAATTTTTTGATGTAATGTGCTGCCATTGAGGGTGATTCATTTAGTTTATTCTTCGCAAGGGTTGTCGCCAAGTGTTTGTGAAAATGCCTGTGTTTTCATCAAGGAGATATGGAGTTGATAGCCAGGTTCTAGATCTAGACACTGCTGTCAAAGATGGGGTTTTGGGAGGCGGTGGTGGAGTCGGATTTGGAGGTGGGTTTGCTGACAAATTGGATCTCAGCAAGATGATTGAGGAGTTGGATCTGCCCGATGTTCCATCTGTGTTCATTTGCCCAATTTCACTTGAACCAATGGAAGACCCGGTTACCCTTTGCACCGGTCAAACCTACGAGCGATCCAATATCTTGAAATGGTTCAGTATGGGTCATTTCACTTGCCCCACTACTATGCAAGAGCTATGGGATGACTCTGTTACTCCAAACAAGACGCTTCACCAGTTAATTCACACCTGGTTTTCTCAGAAGTACGTGCAAATGAAGAAGAGATCCGAAGATGTACAAGGAAATGCGTCGGATATTTTAGATACCCTTAAGAAGGTTAAGGGCCAGGCTCGTGTTCAATCCCTGAAGGAGCTCCGACGAGTAATTACCGATCATGCCACCGTCAGAAAGACGGTGGTTGATAAAGGAGGAGTGAGTCTTCTCTCATCCCTTTTGGGTCCTTACACATCTCATGCCATTGGTTCTGAGGTAGTTTCGATTCTTGTTAATTTGAGTCTTGATTCTTCTTCAAGATTGAATCTGATGCAACCTGCAAAGATCTCATTGGTGGTGGACATGTTAAATGAGGGTTCCATTGAGACCAAGATCAATTGCACCAAATTGATCCAAATCTTGATGGAAGAAGAGGATTTTCAAGTTGAAGTTGTATCTAGCCACAGTTTATTGGTCGCTTTGATGAGGCTGGTCAGAGACAAAAGACACCCAAGTGGGAATTTGCCAGGTCTAAGCCTACTTAAATCCATTTGTTCGCATAAACAAGTGAGAATCTTGATTGTTAGCATTGGAGCTGTTCCTCAATTAGTAGGATTATTGCCTGGATTGAATCCCGAATGTTTGGAATTAGCACTGTTCATACTTGATGCTGTTTCGACTGTAAAAGAAGGTAAACTGGCATTAAGCAGTTGTTCAAACACCATACCAAATATGGTTAGAGTCTTGATGAGGGTTTCAGAAAGCTGTACACAACTCGCTTTATCTATTCTTTGGTCAATTTGCAAGCTTTCCCCCGAGGAATACTCATCAATTGCTGTAGATATGGGGCTTGCAGCAAAACTACTTCTTGTCATCCAGAGTGGCTGCGATCCGTTACTAAAACAGCGGTCAGCTGAACTCTTGAAGCTCTGCAGCTTGAATTACACAGATTCAATCTTTATCTCCAAGTGCAAGCTTACAAGAACCATCCGGTGAAAATTAAGCATACTACGTTCTCGAAAGCACCAAAAAACAACTCTGAAGAAGGTCCAATTCTTGTATATAGTTGATTAGCTTCAATTTGGAGCGAAAGATGGTGGAGGAGGAAGAGGTCAAGATTGGGGTTTGCAATCACACAATTGTAATTGACCAGTGCTTGCTATGCTCCATTCAGTTTCTTGTTTCAGATTCTTTTTCATTAGGATCACAGGAGTCTCCAAATGTTCTTTTGGCTTTGTGGAATTACCAAGAGTAAAAAAAATCAACTTTTTTCATCCAATTTCTTTGAAATATCTATATTCAGATTTCAATTTTGGAATATATCTATATATATATATATATATATATATGAGTTTTTGAGGGGTGTACAGTATATAGATATGGTGATGGGTGTTGCAGTTAAAATGTAGTGTGAAGAAAACACAAAGGCATCAATAATTGGTATATGTGGAATGAGCATGGAGGAAGAAGGGGCATTGTGTTTTTGACATTTTGCAGGAAAAGGATGAGGGAATGGACCCATCAAATACTAATACTTCAAATCACTCATCACTTGGAAATGAATAGATAGTCCACACACCTTTCACTGTGACTCAATACCCACCAGCTCACACTCCCAGTCCCAACTATTCTTGTGACCCATCTTACATGTTACTTGTCGGAACAGGAATAGTTTGATCGGATAACATGTACTAAAAAAGATCGTCTTTTAGTATACATCAACATAATTCATCTAACTAAATGGTCATTTGTTTGATAATGCTAAATCCTAACTTTCTTCAAACTCAAGGTTTAAAAGACTTAGCGTGAGTATTTATTGTATATAGATATTATATACTTCATGTTAGAGGTGATAATTTGCGGGAATGGACCGAGCTTAACTTGTTTTTTTTTTTGTCCAACGGACCTAATATTGTAAACCCAAGTCCCTTCGATTTTATTGGCACGCACAATCTCTTTACAGGTTACGTTAATACTTTATAATGGTAAATAATATGAAAACATGAGATTTCAAAAAAAAAAAAAAAAAACTATAACATTGATACAATATATAAATTAAATAGAATTCATTCATTTTTCAAAAAGATTATGATCGTTTATATAAAAGTGAATTGACATTGATGCAACATATATATTAAAGTTGATAAATTATAAAAAATTAAAATAAACAATTGTACAATTTTTATAAGTCTCATTTAGAAGACGACATTTCCATCCAAAAGGCAAAAGGGTGACCACCTTGTCACCCATTGCTTCTACATTACATGTGCAAGGTTACATCTTTGTGTATATATTACAAGACCGTTCTAATCTTTTTGAAAGTCATGTTATAAATTATACGACAAAAGAGTACCAAACTATAAAAGTTCATATCATATATTCTACTAAATGCCTTACAGCTTAAAAGAACAAAAATGTTTATTATGACAAAGTAACATGAGAAATTCACTTAAGCAAAACCATTCTTCTAAGTCATTTCGAGACAAAAATCTTCAATCAGTTATGCATACCTGTAATAGTAAAGAGAAGGAAAATAGAACTAATAATTACTTGATAGATTTAGGATTTTGGGCTATGTAATCCATATATCAGGGTCTTAAAAGAAAATATAAAATTGGGTGCCATGTTTTTTTGGGTCCTGTTCGAGGTCTCCTATTTAACATACCAATTATGTGCTATGGAATCTGGTTTATCTTATACCTATGTCATAGGTAAATAAGTCCAACGGGGCTAAGATGTCCTTAGTAATAAACGGCATACTCAAATTAAAAGTGGGTTAAACATGTTTGAAAAGAAACCTGGAATGTCGAGCTAATTGCATGGAGGGCAATTTGAGATGAGATTCTTAATCCCATTTGTAGTTCATTATATAGGAAAACTCAACTCAAAATTTCGCCATTGCTCTCTCTTTCTCTTTCTCTTTCAAAGATTCAAAAGAGAACTCAAGAGAAAGCATCAACTATGAAGGGAAGTTGTGAAGGGAGAAGCAAGGTAGGATCATAGCTAGAGTCCAACGGTAGGGAGTTTTTGATGTCAATCAAGGTATGAATGACATTAAATCCTTCGCTCCAAATCCAATGATGAACCAATGTTTTATAATACTGGTTTGATATTTATTCGTATAATGGAGTTGAGTATGAGGCCAAAAGGGTTGTTGAATCAATAAAGTAGTGTTAGCACACTATTGTTGGAGAACATAGTAAAGATTGGTTAAATTGATCATGATTTTTGTTGTTGGTGGTGCTTATATGCACGTATGTGATAGATATAAGTATTGTATATGTTGTGATGCAAAAATAATGGAGTGATTTGGTTTAAATATAAACTAAGTGGAGTAAAATCTGAGATTGGTCAATGTCGAACCTGAGAAACACACATGTACAAATTATGCAAATGGGTTGGCACGACCTTGTGAGACTTTGGCACGACCGTGTAGATTTCCTTATGGATTTGGCAATTTGTGTGGGACTTTTAGGGTGAATTGGTATGGTCATGCTTATCGAGGATTGGTCACTATTGGTCAGCATGAGTAACCGTGTTGTATAGACGGGTATGTAAGGCAATTCCACATACTAGGGTCGTATATTTTGTGGACCATTCACGTGGTGGGTATGTGTATTATGTTAATTTGATGTAGGTGTTGACCGAGTTCCCTTTGACTTGACTTTTGACAATAATTGACCATTGGCTTTGTGTTTTAACATGTATTGTTCATACTCTAAATTAGAACCACATATCAGAAACCCTACATTAACTCACGAGTCTTCATTAGACTTACAAAAATGAGATGTATCATTATATATGACATGATGTTTCCAGCAAGGATCAATATTTGCTATATTTGTTCAGTAAAGATTAGTTTGTCACATGTTTCTAATGTGTGTCACATCCATGTATATATTTTTGGAAAATTGTGCGCATGACATGTGTTCTATACGTTTAAAATCAAATTAGCATGCTACATGAGAATAAGAAATTCAGTATTTGGATTTACCAACCACGACGACAATAATGTAGGAAAACAAAAAAAATGAAGGCAGACAACGTTATGTATGAGGTCAAATCGACAATGGTTAGATAGTTACCACTCAGAACCAAAGTAGAAAGAAGAACAAGTAATCTATATCATAGGAAGAATAATAAGATCTCGGAATTTAAATGAAGTTTTCTTTATATGTGGGCATGTTCTCTCTACATGATCTCTCTCTCTCTCTCTCTCACACACACACACACACACATATATTTATATATATTGATTGATTGCTTTCAAGGAGTTATGTTTTCATATAATGCTCAAAATCAAAAAACTCGTTAACTTAGTTGTATACATGTGATATCCTAGAGAAATCACATCAGATATTGTCCGTTTTGTTCACACATGATTAGAGATGGAAATATTATCCGTCGAGGTGGGTACCCTTATAGGTCGGGGACTCCCCGCCTTGATGGGTAACGGGGGTGGGGACGAGGGTTGTTTTCATACTTGAAGCGGGGTCGGGACGAGGTCAGGGATGGCATTATGTCGGGACGGGGTCAGGGATGGCATTGTTCCACGCCTTGATGTGTAACGGGGTGGGGACGAAGGTTATTTTCATACCTGAAGCGGGGTCGGGACAGGGTCAGGGATGACATTACCCATCCCTAATCCGACCCCGATTAATTTTTTTTGTTAAATATATGTATACATTGTGTATAAATAAATATGTATGTATGTATATATGTGTGCAAAGATTTAATACTAAATGACAAATACATTTGATTTTCAATATTGGTAATTAATATAGTGACGATTCATAGTAATCATAATTTTTAATTACATTGTTTTTATTTTTTCAACTAAATGGGTACGAACCCGTCAAGGATTAATCGGGGTTGAGTCGGGGACGAGGCATGCATTACCCGCCCAATACCCGTCCCATTTCCATCACTACAGATGACTCACGATTTTAAATGCGTCTGACAGAGGAGATATCCAGTCACTTAAAAGATAATCTTAGTTCCCCTTCCCGACCGATGTATGATCTTATAATACATCTCCGAGGTTGCAACAATAAAGCTACCATACTTGTATAAAGGGTAAAACATAGGGTGACCGCACTTGTTTCTTTTCGATTACATTTGGATTATGCATTTGAATATTTGTTCAATTGATAAAATACGACTATCATTTAATTTACTTAAAAAAAATATTTGGTTTTTTTTATTACTTTAATTACATTCTTAATTTCTTAATTTTCCTATTCAGTGTACTAGATTAAATTACTTTCTTTTCCTTTTAAAAAATGTGTTTACATGTAATTATTTGCTAAAGACAAAACTGTTTATAATTAATTAATTTATTTTAAGAAAAAATAAAAATAAATATATCAACATTTATTTGGAAGGAAAGAAATAATAAATAAATATATGATTTATTGTTTTTTAATTTTTATTGAAATAGAAAGGGAGGTTTGAGCCTTTGACTATGACGTAGGTAATGCGTCACAAATCATCTTAGAGGAAAGGTTTTTATTTAAAATATAAACTTAATAATAAACTCTAAATTAATATCCATGTTGAAATTATTTTATTACATACACTAATTAACAACGACGTAATAGTTGTTTGAAGATTTTATAACATCTATTACTTTATGTCGTAGATATTATTTTGATTTGTATGGAGTTTGACGGCCCCATTAACATATATTTTTATTATGGAAAATTTTACGCGACAACCTACTTTAATTTTCGACCTTTAAGTTATTGATGATTTGATTGTCCTCTATGATTGATGCTTATGTGTTTTTTAAATCTTATATAATTCTAATTTCTAGGGAGTTTGGCGTTGGTGATAAATTGTAACATCTGAATAAAAAAAAATACAGTAATGTAATTATCAACCCATGATCATCAATTCAAATAACAACAGAGAATGAATATAGACCACTGATTTAAAACTCGTATAACTATTTTCAAATATACGTATCAAGTTTTGGAATCCTAAAGACTGATCTCAATCTTTAAAAAAATTGAAGGGACTATTTACCTAAATACTTACCTGGTAAGTATTTAACATTAGAAGTCAACACTATAATTTATTTTATTGGGTAAGATTGTAGTATATCAAAACGTATCTTATGCAACAATTTACCTGATAAGCGCAGATAAGAGTCGTCACCCTCACTTACCGGGTAAGACTCTCCATCCTTATCATTGCTCTTACCGGATAAGATTCTTGGTCCTTACCATGTTCATCCAGTGAAAAAAATTACCGTATAAGTACTTACCGGGTAAACGTTTAATAAACAGCCCCTAAAATTATCTAGACTTGAAACATCCGGAGGGTAAATACCATACTTCTCAACTTTCACACGAAACAGGGATTTACCAAAAAAAAAATAATCAAGAACATTAAAATAGTGAAATCTTGAGGGTAGAAAATGACACTAATGTAATTTATAGGGGTAAGAACATCATTTTCTCAAAGAAGTTTAAATAGACAACCTCGCGACTTGTGATTAGGGGTGTTCAGAAACCTGATCAACCCAACCTAACACGAAATAACTCAACTTGAAGTAATTCGATGTCTAATCGAGTTGTAAAATTGTCAAACCGTAAGTATTGAGTTACTATTATTTGAACCCAACCCAACCCGATGAACCTGATATCTTTTTATTTCTTGGATTTAATATGATTGTTGAATATATATTAATATGTACATTAGACAATTACACTATCATCTATGCTCTTCATATACACATATTTTCAATTTATTTACATCTTTATATAACTCATTCGTACATATGTTCAATAACTGTGAACATATATATGTAAATTGAAAAAATTAATTGAATGTGATATACGTAAGAAATATGGATAAGTTGTATCAAATGATTGATGATGAAAAAGAAATTATAAGTAGAGAAATAACATATTCTAGGTTAGAAGAATATTTTAATATACCAATGTATCAATCCGACCAACCCATACGGGTTGGGTTGCACTTTGGTTCGGTTTAAGTTGAGTTAAAAATTTTCAAACCACAAGTTTAAGTTAAATAATTCAAATGTCTTCGATCTTCGATCTGATCCACTCAACCGAACAACCTCTCTAGTCTCTACTACTGATGCCTGTTAAAGAAAAAGAAGTATTTTAGGGTTTTGTCCTTTTCTTTTGGCGACAACATTCTACCAAAGCGAGGGAAAGAAGAGAGTGTGAGCCGCTGTTCTTCGCCGGCACAACCACTACAGGTAAGCAATTCTCCGTCGTCTTATTTAATCTCTCTCTCTCTCTTATTAACCCTCGTTTATACATTTTCTGATTTTTTTGCAAGAACTTGTGACGATGCTAATCAAATTGAAGGACATGACAGGTTGTGATTTCAATACATTACGATATTTCACGTTAGGGTTTTTGGATTGGGAGATTTTGCATTAAATGCATCTGTAATCTATATCGTATACATGGATTTGTATTGTATTGTCTTATCTTATAGTTAATGTTTTTTGTTTGAAGCCATTGATACTTGTTACTTCCATTCTGGAGTTGTGTACGGGTATAGAAGATATAAGAATTAAACATTGTTTTTGTTGATTTATTTGGTTTACATCACTGCACTTATAAGTAGTCTAAGATTTATTGACAAAAAAGTTGCAAATGGGATCTTTGAGACAGAGTGGTCTTTGGTGCATTGGTGATCATTGAGAGAAAGTGACTATGATTACCTGTATTGTTTATGCATTACTGTAATTTCATATCTAGAGGGCACATCAATATGCGTTTCACATGTGAAACACACACAAGAATAAAACACGTGAAACGATATGAATCATAACTTAAAATCAAAGCCATTTATATTTGTTACTTCCATTCATTGAAACGATATCAGACAAAAGATTGATGCTTGTGTGTAAAATGGAGATTGAAGTCTTGGAACCGGATGCTTTAATATGAAGGAATAAGAACTTAGCAAGAAGCCTACACCGATGAATCCATAATCTCTATGCAGTATACATGCTATATTGACTATCCTTAGAACTTCCTCATTGGCAGTCTTTTTGTTATTGTAGGGATCTTAAGGATCAAGTACTTTTGCTTTTCATTTGTTGGTGAGTAAAATACTGCTCTGACCTTGAACACCCGTCTCTTAAATCGTGTTTTTGTTTTCCGTTGTGCATTACTACATCAACATTTTGTTTTTGCTATTAAAAACTTGTATGGTGGCTATTTACCATCTATTTTGCTTCATTTATCTTATATCGGTCAATGTGTTATGATCTTGGTTGAACCTTTTTGTACTCGATTATCTTTATTTATGAATAATTTTGGTAACAATCCTTCTAATGATGTTTTGTTTATATAATTATTTTTAGTTTGGGATAAAGAATGGGGCGTGTGCGTACCAAGACTGTTAAAAAATCCTCTAGGATAGTGATTGAGAGGTATTATGGGAAGATGACTCTGGACTTCCACACAAACGAAAAGATTTTGGAGGAAGTTGCCATCATTCCATCCAAGCGTCTTAGGAACAAGATTGCTGGTTTCTCTACTCACCTTATGAAGCGTATCCAGAAGGGTCCAGTGAGGGGCATCTCGTTGAAGCTTCAAGAGGAGGAAAGGGAGCGTCGCATGGACTTTGTGCCCGATGAGTCTGCCATTAAGACTGATCTGATTGAGGTTGATAAGGAGACAATTGAAATGCTTACTGCCCTTGGCATGGCTGATCTCCCTGGGGTTGTCACGAAATCTGTTGAACCACAGGCTTTGCCATCAGTACCTGCTTTTGGTAGGGGTGGTGATGGTGGTGGTTTTGCAAGGAGATATTAAAAGGGGTAATCTCTATCTTATTCCATAATTTTCTTGTTTTTATTCATGCCTTGTTCTTTTTGGTCCATAAGACTTGGTTGAACAGTAAATAGATTAAGTGATGTTTTAGGTTGGAATTTTGATAGACGGAATCTCCTTGCGGATTTTTCATTGTTTGCAGCATCGGCCGAGTTTCCATGAATTGCAAGATAAATTCATTGGTCTTATACTTCATTATGAATGTAGTTGGTTCCCCAGTTTATTAACTGGTCTGAATCAAACATAATTAACTGGTTTTTATATTTATAGATAGATTATTCGTATGCCAAACATGACGTAACTTAATGATTGACGTAAGTGAATCCAATTTTTATCTTCCATTTTAATACAAAGACAATGTATATCCTTATGACGTGTGTTTTCGCTATTTGGGCAAATGGTAAAAACACTGCATCATAAAGATCATAGTTTTGGGACAAAAAATGAACATGTTTCAAATATAATGGAATTTGTCTTTGATGAATGGTCATGTGATAACAGGAGTTAAGGTGAGAAATGTAAGAAGGGATCTGAACCATTGATCATTTATAATCTATCCATGAATTATGATTCTCATGGGAATTGATTCGATGAATCTCGGTTACACCATCGATGTTGATCTTCAATTAGGATGATGAAATCCTTTTTCATCATATTTTTCATTCTCAGTGGAACCCAATCCTTATTCTTATTTGGTGAAATAGTTTTTTCCCGATTAATTTAACAAAGATCCAATTATTCTTATTTTATATATATGTTACCAGATAAATAGGTTTTTTAAGTTATATATATACATATATCAGTTGGTTAATTAAGAAAAAAAAATACAAAATGTGATAATATTTTGATCATGGTTCTAAATAGCTTGTTATAGCGTGTTACGACATCAAGCTTTGGGTTCGCCGCCGCATTAACCCTCATGGCTTCATTCTTAGGCTTGGGTCTACTTTTATAATATAAATTGAGCGATAATGTATGAGACATAGGATTTAAATAAACATAAAAAGGAAACTTAAAAACTAAAACCTCGAATAGGTAAATATTTACTTAGATTCCCGTATACGAAAAGTAGAACACAAATTCTTTGAAAATTGAAAAAAGTAGTGAGTAAGGATTCAAGAGATTCAATCCCGATTTTAGACTCTTGGTATCATTTTCTATAACCTCTATATATCTGGTATCAATAGCTCTTCTTTCTTTTTAGTTTTATTACTTTTCATGAATTTAATTTGTTCGAAAGTGATTCAAAACACTAACACATGCAAGGGCGGGTGGGTGCGCGTGTGTGTGCCGCCTTAGAGCATGTCTTAAGCCTCATCGCAACTTGTAAGGCTTGAGGTTTGACCTCGCCACCATGACATGCCTCGTGTCATTTAGAACCTTGATTTTGGTACATTTCAACCTTTTTAAACAAACTTCCATTTATTTCGACAAAGAAGTTGTAAATCTCCAACAGCTTATCTAAAATGAAGAAAATGGGGATTTTGAGCCCAATATTTTGCTCCAACAACTTCCCCAAAACTATCTTTAAAACGGAGAAAAAAGAGTTTTTTCTCCAAATATGGAGTATGGGCACTCAAAAATACAGACCGACCCAACCAACCCGGCTAACCCAACCTGAAAAAACTTTAAAAAAATCTCAACTCGATGTAAACTCGATGTAACTCGACACATCGTTGATACAAAATTAGACCAAACCGCATCTATTGTGTTGGAATTGGGCCGGGGTGCTTTGTATCCAACCCAACCCGATGAACTCGATGCTTTTCTACACTACGGATTTAATATGGTTGTCAATTCCTTGATTAATATATGTAAATTAGACATTAGACCAACCCATAAGTAGCTATATTCAAATTGTATTACCTTTTAACCGTAATTTTACTTTCTCATTTGCATGAACTTCATTTTGTTTTTGAGTTTATTAGCCTTTTTTGTATGTTCTTATTTTGATTATAAAATGATATACCAACGATTCAAACCGACCAACCCAACCCAACCCGGACGGTTTGGGTTGGGTTGGGTTGTAGTTTTGATTGGGTTGAGATTTTTCAAACTGCAAACACTGAGTTCGGTTGTGTTGTTCAAATGCTTTTAACCCGATCAACCCAACTCATGTGCAACCTTAATTCGGAGAACAACTCAAAAATTATTACCAAATGAGACCATTAATAAGAAACTTTAAAAATATATTTTTAAAGAGAGATATAATATTTTAATAAATGAATAAAATATTTTAATATTACGATCAATATTGGATTCTCTAAAACGAAGAATCTCTTGGAGATAAATATGTAACTTTTTTTTAGATTTTGACTTTTGATTCTCTATTTTGAAGAAATTTTAGGGAATTTCTTGCTCTTAATGGACCATTCGTATCTAGGGTTGTGCAAAACATGACTGTATCCGATTTACCCGACCGAATAAACCCGATCCAATCCAGAAAAATATTACCCGAATGTCATCCAAAGTCCGAACCCAAAATTTATATCGGGTAAGGCAGATCGGGTAGGATCTCAAGATCCTTCCCCTAAACCCGCCCGAAATCCGAAGAACACAAAGGGCTTTTAGGGCTTAGGGCTTTTCCAATAAAAGAAACGGTTGTGACTTGTGAGGCTGTGTGACGACCGACGAGGCGGCGACGACTACGAGTGACGACCAAGTACCAACGGCGACGACCGACGAGTGAGGAGTGACGACCGTCCGACCGACGAGGTGACTGCACTGCCTCTCTTTAGAATGCAAAAACAATTACATAATCTTTCGCTCTGAATCTCTGATAAGTGATAACCAGGCCCGTTTCTGACATTTTTTAGGCCCTGGGCTAACATAAAAACAGGGGCCCCACTGCAAGAAACAAGGCTTTTAGCAACGACTTTTGTTGTCGCTAAAAGTCCATTTATCATTAGAAAGAGTATATAACAACAACATGTCATCGCTATAACTTGTGATACATGTCATCGCTAAAAGGCGTATCGTCAAAACTCACTTTTCTTGTAGTGACCTCCGGTAATAAATGTTTTTCATTAGTATAAAATTGAGCACAAGAAATGCTAATAATTTACTGAGTAAAGAATCTTATTTATCTTTATTATAGATATATAAGAGAGTACTTAAATTTACGTACTTTTTATTATGTAATTTTAAACCAAGAGTATAGAAACTATGGTTGATAAATTTTTATAAAAAATAAGAAATTTTTACTTTATAACAAGAAATATATGTTATTTTGATACAAAAAGAGATTTCGTGTTAATGAAATAAACGTGAGGTCAATGAGAGATACATAATAAAGAAGATTATCAAGGTTTTCTAGACAAGTAGACAAATGAAGATCAATAAGAATATGAAAGAGAAGATGATCTATTGAGATCTAGTAAAAATAAATAATGAATTAAACATATAATATGCAAACTCAACAAATAATTGTTTGAGCATTTAAATAGAATCTTGTGGTGTTGTGGAATCCCAATGAAAGATACATAAGTCAAACAATTGATGAAAATATTTAAATTCTATTTTCCTTTTTTTTTGCTCAACTAAAATAAGATGTTAATATTAAAAGTTTATGGAACATGACATATATAAGAGACATTACTAAATATATCTAGCAAAAAAAAATTTTTATTGATTAATCACAAAACCATGAAACACGTCATAAATCATAAGAACAATAGATTAATTGTAAAAAAAAAGTAAAATATTTTATGCAGAAGCAAAATTAGATAACAATAGTCAACAAAAACAATTAGAACAACATAACCAAATAGCAATAGTCAATAAAAATAGAAATTGATAAAAATATCTAACAAAAATATAYARYAATAGCAAGCACATGATCTTAACGTTGAATTGTTGAAGAACGAAAATATTCAAGTATATAGAGATAACCATAGCCAATATCATTGGACCTTATTGAAGATAAAAAAAATTAGAGGGGTAATAAACAATAGCATATAATGAATAACCAATTTTTTTTTTTTTTTCTTCTCTAATGTAATTAGTTGATATATTTTTGGGCCCTTATTATCTACTAAATTATTTTTGTCTCTTATTATATGCTACAATTTTTTGGTTTCTTTAATTTATTAAATTCTTTTAGACTACTATATATTTTAAAGTAAAAAATTTGGGCCCCTTATATTTTTGGGCCTTGGACATGCGCCGGTGCCGCCCTCCCCCAGGGACGGCCCTGGTGATAACTAATTAACCACTTTAGTCTTAGCTATCACAACTACACAGTCTACACTTCTGTTTTGAGGGCAAGTTTGATACATATTTTCACAAATCATTACAAGTATTCTTCATGCATCCAAGTTAAAAAGTAAAGGTGCAAACATCTATGATTGCCATCACTGCAGTTATCTGAATTCTAAAGTGCACTTGGTCTTTATCGAAGGCATCTCACGCGATATGACACGAACCCTGAACTGTATGTTTCGGATTGTGGTTTTGTACCCCGACATCCGATCGGATTAACCCTTATGGTATCTATATGCATCAGGATCCCGATTTTTTCGCTGCTACCGCAGGCTTTGCCCTACCGATGCTATTACTCAAAACTAACATGAAATGTATGCTTGTATATTCGATCATAGCTTAAAATAAGAGCTTTAGTTTCTATTCATAAAATAGGGATAGGAGGAAGGAGTAGTTTATTTAAGATGTAGTTTCAATGGTATTCAATTCTACAAAAAAAATTTCCCTAAAAATTGGTTTTCAAATCCTAATTCGGATCTTATTGAATGAGATGCTCTAATTTCCTGGAACACCACCTTGACCTATCATTCGCAACGACTCCGTGTGAAAGAGTCAAGCATCTTGTGTACAAGTCAAGCAACTCCGTATCCGATAACCGACCGACCTTCTTAACTTTAACTATACTCAGAGTACTACCGCCGCCGACGATCGCAAGTCCCTGAACCTGGAATTTCCAATTCTATAATGTCATGGTTCGTTCGATCCATGGCCAACTCCCTCAAGCTAGACGACGGCGGCGGCGGCGGCGACGAAGGACACCCTGTGAACAAAAGCACGGACGTCCTGACTAATAAGAAACACGAACAACAAGTTAACGACGATAATTCGCCTCAATCTCCAGGACGAGGCGTAAAAGAAGACCTATCAGAGATCACCAGAACCCTAACTCGACAACTCTGGGGCGTCGCTTCATTTCTTTCCCCTTCGCTTCCCCCCGGACACTCTAATGAGCGATCGGAGTCGTCCGATCCAGAAGCTTCTGCTCCAGAAGCGATATCTGGTATACGCAGAGACTTCGCCGAGATCGGGGGGAAGTTCCGTACTGGAATTGCTAAGCTGTCTAACAATTTAGATGTGTCGGAGATTACGAAAATGGCTTCGAGTTTTCTTGAGCTGGAATCGGACGATGACGATTACGGTTCAACTGATGACGATGGTGCCGTTGGCGTTACGGATGAGGTTGTGGCTTTTGCTACGGATATTGCAATGCACCCTAAGACTTGGTTGGATTTTCCTTTACTGAAGGATGAAAACGATGATGAAGGTAAAACAATTTCATTCAATATTGCAATATACTTAATAGTCAGAGCATATTGGACTATGTACTGATTATATCATACATGGTTTTTGGTAATGCTAATTTTGATTTTAATTGATATGAGCACAATTGAACAACTTAATTTATGGAAAACAAACAAGATTTTATCATCCAGAGTGTTTATAGATGTTGCATAACTGCCAAGACTTCTCCCGCATTGATGAAAGTTTCACTTCAAGCTAATGCTTCGTTTGTCCTTTAACATCTATGAAAACCAGGTCTCTTTGATGTTTCTGCTGGCTAACTAGTGAAGTTTCGAAGTCATTTACTATGAGAGTATCCTATCATATGAGTGTGGGTCTGATGATCATATTATGCTTGCTGTTCCTTTTACTCCAGATTTTGACCTATCTGATGCCCAACAAGAGCATGCTTTGGCTGTTGAACGTTTAGCGCCAAGATTGGGTGCTCTTAGGATTGAGCTCTGCCCAGCTTATATGAGTGAGAGTTCCTTTTGGAAGATATATTTTGTACTTTTGCATCCTAGGTTTGAACGCCATGCTGCTGAACTTCTTTCAACACCCAAGGTAAGTGTGCTAGGTAACTATGCTGACTTCTTATTTTTCGTCTTATCAAATTTTGTTTTGAATTCCAATATTTCTGAGAGACTCCAGCTCTAACTCATGGTCCTGTGGATTTTGTTTATCCCTACAAATCTCTGGCACAAATCTTCTAAACTTTTTAGGTTGGCTAAACAAGTGATATGATTTATATGGTTTATGTTCTGTGCTTGCTTTTACTTGGCCTTATACTTGCAGATAAGTTTTGGAGTACAAAAAGCATTCCTATTTCCCTAGCCTAGTATAATAACTAAACTTGTAGCTTGCTGCTAATTTTATGCTTATGTCGCCTATGAAGTTTGCATGTGGCATCTCTCAACTGTGCTAACTAATGTTGCTGGATGGAAATAGACACATATGGTGAAGTCACTATGACATTAGTTAAAATTTGGGAATGGACACTTGCTCATTTAATCAGGTTCTCTGTACAGGAGCTTAATTTAAACTTGCAATTGTTGAGTTTGAGCTTGACACAGGTACATGCTATCATGCAAGAACGACTTCCTAATGTGGCAATCTCTATGCCCGAACCTAAACATTTTTAGCGCGTTGTGTTCTGTCCCCTGTTGCAAGAAACACATAGTGGCACAACTGATTTTTCTGGCCTTACATTATGCTCAATATCGGAAGCTGAACCTTACAGCTGCCACAGTTCACTAATGGAGGTTTCCTTATGAACATTTAGATAGGCTAGTTTCTAGTGGAGACTGTGGAGTTTGTGGGTGTAATTGAACTGCGTTGGATAACATATTGTAGTAATGACCTTCAAATAATGTGCTTATCTTACATCTCTTTGCTATTGAATAATGGCCATAAGCTAGGTATTAGTTTGTTCTATTGCATATATTGTTGTGATTGAACTAGATTTTGTTCGTTCCTCCTCAACCTTGAACACTTTGGAGCCTCCTAAGAAAGATAAAAGGTTAACTTAAGACTGCTGGTTACCTTGATCAGCTAGCGTCAGTAAGGTGCCAAGTCATTTGCAAGTCGCAATGTAAATAGGTGTGAATAATACTACAATAATGTTGAAATAAAGGTGTGATAGTATTGAATAACACCACTACCTATCATCAAAGCACAGACAAATACATAATACATGTATAATAAAAGGCAAAACAGCCAAATTGGCTGGAGTTCTGATACTGGCCAAGTTTAACCAACAGGTTGTTTTTAAGTCCCATACTAGTTGCTTTCGGTTGCCAAGGACAAGTTCAGAAAAAAATGAACATATTTGAGAAAACAAGTCGTTAACGTTAGCTTTATAAAACCCTAGAGTAAAACAATTATTCCCTATATTTTTAGCTTAATCGGGACCCTTGTTGTAAAGAAAGTTCTAGGGGCGTTTGGTTCACTGAATGTTTTGGGAAGTAATGAAATCTGTCAAAGGGATTGAAATACAAAGGAATTGGAATCGAATTGAATCAAGTTTGACCATACGTCTGGTTGGCTGGAAACAAAATGAAATTTGTCAAAGCAATTGGAATCTGTCTATAATGCAGTTTTGGAATTGGAGAAAATGATGATAAATGACCAAAATACCCCCTTTATGATATTTTTGTTTTTTTGTTGATTCAATTATAAATGCTAGTAAAATCATTTATTATTTCAAATTATTTATTATTTTAGGGTATTTTGTCTTGAATGAAATTTAATTCCAAGCAAAAAGCCATGGAATGAGTAGTCATCCAATCGGTGGAATCTCTAATTCCATTGGAATTGAATTCAATTTCAACGCAGTTATTAGACAGACAAGTTTTGTGGTCCATCTGATAGATTCCATGACTACCTTTGTGTTGGCTTATGAATCGTTTGTTCAGCCCAATCCATTACATGTCTAATCTTCATTTATTTGGCCACATATCCAATGCTACTCTGTGCTGCAATGAGATATGAGAAATGAAATGAAGTCACTAAACGAACTGGCTCTAGTTTTCTATTGTTAAGGAGATTAAGGCTCACAGTTACCTTTATATAATTTTACAATGGCACTCTGTTTTTTTTCTCATTGCCTCTTACTGTCCCACCAATCTCACTTTTCTCTTTGCAGATTGTGAAAGTCAGAGCCTCACTAGCATATGAGTTGAAGAACCGTTTTTATCCGGAATCCAAGAAAGAAGGGCCAAGAAGCAATTTTTATCCTGAAAATATGCTTGATTCTGCACCTGGAGAGCGTCATTCTGTCCCATCCAGCACCAAGTTAGAATCTGTCCCCCTTGAGATATCTGCAATCGAGACTGGCACCCCCACTATATTAGCTAATGAAGAGACTGAAAAACACCCTATCCACAGTGATGAGATTCAGATTGTAGACAAATCTGTGATTCAAGAGGAGCCTCACAATCAGAATAGGGGTTCCAATGTCACCTCAGTTGCAATGGAAGGTAAAGATGAGACAGATGATTGGTTAAAGGAAGAAAACTCGGAGATTGTTGGAGGTAGAATTACCATTCCTATCGAGAATGATGAGGATGTGTCGTTTAGTGAGCTTGAGGATGATGATGATGATGATGATGATGATGGAAACATACCTATAAATTACAAGAAACCAACATATGGCTCTGATTCTTCAACAAAAGACTCACGAGGTTGGGTTCAGTTGGGTCGAAGCTCCACTGGTTTGGGTAAGGACAGCCACTCTTCGACGATTGAACGTGGTGGGTCTGGACAAGTAAGCATTCATAACTCTGAAAGGAAGGAACCTAACGATTGGCTTGATGTTGTCGACATTGATGATATCAAACATTTTTCTAACTCATAATTGTTGGACTAATCGTGTATGGCGGCGTAAATAGTTTGTTTGTTTACAGTTTCTCAAGCGTAACTACAGCTTCTGATGTGTATTGATCTGGGGAAATACGTGCCCACTTAAAGTGTGGATTATGATGGTCAATTCTGATTTCTTGCAAGTTGCATATGTGATATGCCTGTGATTTCAAGTCGTTAAGAGTAAGGAGCCGTTTACCGAATGCTTACAGAGTGAGCGCTCAATAGCAAGAGTCACCACCCAACTTATTCTTATCAGGTTCTCGGTCGTAAGTGTCTCTTACCCGGTCAGATTCTCGTTCATTTTCATGCTCACCCGGTAAGTGACACTCGACAAATACTTGCTCGTGTTTGGTAAACTTCCCATAAGTTGCATATAACAGCTAAAAGACCAAGTTACCCACAGGTAGCAGGGAGTTATAAGGTGATCATTTGTAGATCACATAATGCATCTTTTTTCTCCTTGATAGGTGAAAATGGAGATTGATTCAAGTGTGTGATCCGTTGTAAGGTAAGAGCTCTATTGTAATCATCTCTTGATCGTTAAAGTACAAGTTTCTGTCTCTTCTTGTGGCTGTAATGGTACGATAGTCCCCCTCCCCTACAAATCTAATAATTCATATAAACTTACAAAACCAGTTTTCATGTATTGTTTTTATATGTGAAACAACACGTATGAAAACACAGTGTTTACGTGAAACATTCAAGACTGTTTTTTCACACACAAAACAGTTTAAAAAAACCATGTGTAAAAATGTAGTGTTTATACAAAAATTGGAGATTGAATTTCAGATGTTTGTTGTTAAATTTCTTATGCACTTCGACAAAAAAAAACATTTTTTGGTGGGACACGTGCCACCCTTTAAGATTCTCCAAAATGAATTTTGCTTTTTTTAAAATCTTTCTCCAAAATGGAGAAAACTGGAGAGGGAGGGGGGTAAATTTCTCCAAATTTGGAAAACTTCTCAAAAATGATTACAATGAGAGACATTTTTTTTAATCATATTCACTCGAATAGGAACCGTTGATGTTAAATGTTTATGAGAGAGAATTGATATTTTAATTATATATATAAGTTATTTAATAATATAATTAATGTTCTAATCTTTAAAACAAAAAATCTTGGAGATGAATGTAACTTTTTTTTTTTTTTGAGATTTTGAGTTTTAGTTCTTCATTTTGTAGAAATTAGAGCATCTATAACATATTAGAAAATCAAAAGTCAAATCTCAAAATAATTTTTTTTATTTTCATCTCCAACTTCTCCATTATTATAGTATGAATTATATTATTTTCATCTCGCATCATTATCGCTAGGGACGCTTAAAAACTTGACCAACTCAATCAACCTGGCTTACCCAACTCGACACAAAATAACCCTAACCCAACTCGAAACAACTCAATGTCTAATCGAGTTGTAAAATCTTCAAATTGTAGGTATTAAGCTGGGATTAGTTTATGACCATTTGAACTCAATCAACTCGACAAACCCGATATTCTTTATCTTTTGAATTTAATATGATTGTTAAGTTCCTATTAATACGTACATTAGACAATTACTCAATCACGTACCTTTATACATATATTTTCATTCTTTTCTCCATCTCTGTAAAACTCCTTTGTATATATGTTTTATTAAATGTGAACATATATGTCTAAATTGAGAAAAATAGTTGAATGTGATATATTTGGAATTTAAGAAGTATGGATAAGATATACCAAATGATACAGAAAAATGAATTATGAGTAGAGGAAACAACATATATAAGGTTAGGAGAATATTTTGATGTAATAAAGTATCAATTTGACCAACCCAACCAATCTGTACGGTCTAATTGGATTGAGTTGCACTTTGGTTTCATTTGGGTTGAGATTTTTCAAACCGCAAACATTGGTTGGGACTGTTCAAATGCTTTCAACCCGATCAACACAATAAGAACCTTAATAGAACTCTACAATGAAGTTTTTTTAACAAAAGCTCCACATCCATTTTTATTTACAAAATATAACTTTATTAATTTACGAAGTATAAATTAATGCTAATTTTCTATTTTAAAGTATTTAAAAAATAATCTAAACATAATAATACAATTAGATAATAAAAAATAAAACTTATGACAACAAATTTTTTGTTTTATAAGAATTAATTTATAATTTTTTAATGAATTTTAACTTATCTGTTTTATATTTTTTATAACAGTGGTTAAGAAACAATAAAAAATAATATTAGAAAAGGAATGTAAATAAGAACCCGAATTCTTATTCGAATACCTGAGTTGGACGCTCTTAAAATATTGAAGAACTATCATAATATATTATTAATTTCTCATATATATTTAATTCCAAAGGTTTTTAAATAAATCTTTAATAAAAAAAGATTGAATTTTGTTTTTTATATGATTTTAACAGATTTTCTATATTGTTTCTAAAATGGAAAAAAATAGGGAAAACTTTAAATATAATGAATTTTTTTAAAACTTTCACCAAAGAAAAGAGGAATGAGGTTTTTTTTATTCATTTAACCAAGGAGATTGAATTAATACTATTTTATAAAAAAAAATCTAAAAGTGTATTGAGATTATTAGATTATATAATATTTGAATAATATAATTAATGATGAAATTTAAAAAATAAAGGATCTGTTAGAGTTGAATATTGTTTATTTTAAAAAATTTGACTGAACTCTTGGATGTATATTTTAAAAAATTATAAAAAATATGTTTAAGGGGTTGTTTACTAAACGTAATTTTCCTTACCAGAAGAATATGACGAGGGTCAAAAATCTTATCCGGTAAGAGCAATGATAAATATGAAGAGTCTTATCTGATTAGTGAGAGTTACGACTCTTACTGGGGTAAGCGTTTACTGGGTAAATTGTTGCATACAATATCATTTTGATATACTACAACCTTAACCGATAAAATAAATTACAATATTGACTTCTAATACTAAGCACTTACTGGATAAACATTTAATTACACTACGCTACCCCTCACCTGTGAAAATTTCTTTTTCAAAAAATAAATGTTGGCAAACATATTTAAATCATTAATGGCAAACATTAATAATTTTCAGTAAAAGAAAAATCATTAATGACGATTTTTCATAAAAGAAAAGTATTAACATTTTTTGCATTAATTTTATTTTTAACCAAAAATTACCCATCCAGAATTAATAAAAATAAACTTAAATAGAAAAATAAAAATAAAAATTGTAAGTTGGTGGTATCTCTTTGTGAATTTTTGGTTAAATTGCCAGAATTTGTGGCTAAAAACAAATACAAATTATTTATTGATATTTGGCAATTGGCATATATATCCATCCAAAAAACAAGCCGTGGCAGACTCTGCAACTGCCTGCCTATCCCACTACCTTTCTTTATTCCTTGAATGTTTTGCTAATTTATCCTCCAGATCAAGAATTCGATTGTTTCTTGTTTAATTAAACCCACAAAACCCTAATTTATCTTCCCGTCTCCTACATGGATCTACGGATATTAAACAAGGGTTTGGCTTGCACCCACAAACGAAAAAAATGGATTCTTCTCATCGCTGCTTTAGGGGTTTCGACTTATGGTGCTTATAAGGTTTGTACACTGCCTTCTGTAGCTAAGAAAAGGGCCAGGGCGATCAAGTTCTTAGCTGCCTTAGCTTCACTTGTTCAATTTCTAGGCGATTCTGCTGACACAATTGGAATTATGAATAAGGATTTGAAACAGTTCCTACAATCTGATTCTGACCAAATCCCCTCTAGTCTAAGCCAATTGTTCAAAATCACGAGTTCTGATGGGTTTTCAGACTCCGTTGTTAGGGTAACTAGGGCTTTGACAGTTGGAGTTTTACAGGGGTCTCTTGTTGAAACCAGAAAAGGTCATTCTGATGATACGGGTTTTGCCGATAAGGCTTTGGATAAGTTGTTTTCCCCTGCTGGTTCTGGTTTTGTTTCTGTGGTGGTTGGGAGTTTTGCCAAGAATATGGTTATGGCGATCTATGCTGATAAGGAGGTCACTAGAGGTTCTGTTGTGAATGGATCAAAGAATTCAGCCGATTCAGTTCAGAGATGGGTGGATGTTATAGGTGATGATGATAAGTGCAGGGAACTGATTGGGGATTCTATACAGCAGTTTGTGAGCACAATGGTGACGGTTTATCTCGATAAAACCATGGATATAAACCCCTATGAGCAGATTTTTTCAGGCTTGAGTAACCCTAAACACGAAGAAAACGTAAGGGATTTGTTGGCGGTGGTTGCCAACGGTGCTATAGAGACTTTTGTCAAGACGTCTCACCAAGTCTTAACGAATTCAAACACAAACGGTAATTCAGATTCAAGTTCAACTCCTTCGTATTTTCTTAGGGGAAGTTCATCTAATGTTGGTAAAGTTTTGGATGGGAAAGAATTAGCATCGAGTAAACTGAAAGCAAGAAAAGATCATAATGGGTGGGTGAGTAAGATGTCATCTAGTCTAGCGATCCCCGGAAACATGGGGTTTGTTCTTGATATGACGGGAAGGGTGACACTTGCGACTATGAAGTCGTTTTTGGGATTTTCGTTGAACAAGTTGTCTGAGGGTATGAAGAAAAGTGGTCAAGAAGCTTACAGGTACCTGACTGCAAAATCTTTGATTGTTATGACCATATACATTTCACTGTATTTGCACCTGTTAAGCAGTCCATGGACTTTGGTCTCAGCCTAGCATGTAGCTCTGCGTTTGAGTTCATCTTAGCCTATAGATACAACCATCTGTGTATATATATATATATATATATATATATATATATATATATATATACTGTGAACAAAATGAAATGAAATGATCTCTGAGTTTTATTGTATTTCTGCTGTTGCCATCATTAAAGAATCTTGAGATAACAATAGACATGAATAAAGATAGAAGCTTTTTTCATGGGGTTTCCTTCTGCGTATAGATATAGTCGAGATGAGCAACAAGACTCCTTCTCATCAAACATTCTTCTTCACCAATTCCTTTGCACCCTTCTTCAATCTCAGCCGTTTCAACATCACCCTACAAAGAAAATGAGAATACATTTTGATATCTTGAAAAACCATGAAATTGACAAGGAACCAGAGATCAGAAAATGGTTTCCAAGATACCTTATCTTGATGTTTTGTGGTGGTGATCTTGTGGAAAGTGGGGTGGTGGCGGGTGGCAGTGGACGATGTGGAACAGAGGAGAAGGGCTAATAGGAGCAAGAGGATGGTTGCTCTAGCCATGATTGTTGTGGTGATTAAGGTACCCAATGAAAGATGTGGGAAGATATGATTTATAGAAACCAACAAGTGTGGTGTGAAAGGGAGATTAAACATTTGTATAGAAGTTGGATGTGAAATGAATAGATTAGAGGAATAAAGAGGACAAAGAATATAACCTGCAAGTCAGCTATAATGTTGGGTTGGAGACAAATTGATCCACCCGTGAAGGCTCACCCGTGGTGGTCTAATCATAGTCAACCTCACGTCTTGTTTGATTGATAGCATGATATCCAGCTTCAAGGTGGGTTTTCATTGGTTGGTTGATGTTTGGAGTTAACAATGAATTTGTAGTCATGGCATTTTGTCAAACATTTGGTATGCGTCTAGTTTCAACCATTTATGGTAATAGAACAATTAATCTTAGGTGAAGTCGAAATAGTTGCTGCTAGGTACCAGTTGATGAACACTTATTTAACCATGGTTGGTCGTCTCCTCTCCACATAAACAAAGAATCCCAATTTATTTAATAAGATTGCATGTTCATTCGTACCTTCAAATCCATCAAAACGCGCTTTGCTTATGTTATTTATAACTTGTCGACTGCGAACCCCATGTGCATCCCACCAAGTTGGAGGCTTTTTGGATCATTAGCCCATTCTATGATGAATTAAAGGGATTTTTAGGTATATAACTTTATATGAGATTTTAACAAGCCAGTGGTCATAAATTTACTTAAACGATCCATGGATTAGATTTTCAAATGCATGTAAATACGAAAATTTATTGGATACCGGATGAAATAAAATTTCATAACTTGTATATCTTAAAAGTGCCACGTAACGGATTATATTACATTGTTTACAACGATAATAACATGTAGGGCACTTGATTGACATCCCTATATCAATACTCCAAAATCTTGATTCCTCGAATCACAAACTTTGAGCATGACATATGCAACACATGGATACAATTTAAGCAACTGTGTTGCCGGGGTGATTATATCAGATCCACATAAGATTTTAACAAAATTCCAATGCCATATAAATATCTAAGACAATTCATTGTGTATAATTCAGAAAACACAAAATGCAACTATCGATAATGTGTACTTTTGTTATTGACACCAAACTGATTAATTAGTTCTCTTATCAAATGACTAGGATTAAAATCAAAACCCTCGTGATGCCACTGCCACAATAATTTCAAAAACTGTAACAAAAGGTGAATCGCAAAACGCAACTAGCTTTAGAAAAAAAAAATCAAACGATAATCTTAAGATACTATTTAATACATTAAAATATGGCAACATAGACACAAGAAGATAGGTGCTATACATAATATAGGTAACTTAATTACACAATATATATGTTTGAATTTGGGTACAACGACATTATATGCAGGGTCGGTCTTGGGGTTTCTCATATCCTGGGCGAGAAGGTAAAATAATACCCTCAGTATTTAAAAACTACAAATTAAACATACTACTTTTTAAAGGGTTTGGAACCTAATCAAGCTAGACATCTCATACCTAAGCCAATTTTTGTTATTATTATTGAATAATAATTTATTTTTTTGTAATGCATAACTTATGATTATATAATATCATAATGTAATATCAAGTTAAATTGAGCTTTAGAAACTTGTGTATAATAATATTTGTGTTCAAACTAATTGTATAAACCCTGATTATATGTAATTTTTTATTTTATTTTATAATTAATTTTTATATTATATTAATTAATTTATATTACTATTGATAAAAAAATATCTTGGAATCAGGTCTGCTAACTTCTTTCCACACCAATAGAATGGCACTAGACACGCCGTAGGAAATAAAAATTAGAAATTCAAACATATTTAATGGAAGTTGGTGAATATGAGATATTAAACAAACTATGCTTAGGCTCTTCGATCACAAATTCAAACCATGTTTGTTTTGGTTGTATGTTAATGTTATAAGACCTAAGTTTTGGTTATAAAATCAAGTTTACTCTTCTTGAACAAGCATAGAACCTACCTCCATAATTTGCAATTGTCCATGATGTTCTTAAGAGTGCTTGAACACCACAGTAACATAGCACCATTTCGGGTAAAGGAGAAGAATAAATGAGGTTTACGGGTCAATTCGTTAAAAATTAAGGTGGGAAAAGTTTGGTTAAAAAGAGAGGGAAAACTTTTCCGGACGATTTTACTCCTAACACTAAGGATGGAAATAGACGGAGTTAATGACCATGTTCTATGTTCAAAGCAAAATCCAAACCCAAGGGACGACTTTTTGACTTATTAAATTACAAGTTCCACTTTCAAAAAATACTAAACCTCATGCACCAAAATTGAAGTTTTTTTTCCCGATATAGAGGGGGGCAGCCCTTTCAAGATTTTCATTTCTTCTCTAACATAAACTCCAGCAGATTAGAGAATAAGGAATGGTCAAATTTTGATTTCGTCATTACCTAGATCTGGGTTCTCCTCAACCTTTTCTATTAGAGTTGATTTCGTTTTTATTTAGTCATATACTTGAGTTTCGATTTAGATATAGCTTTTTATTTGCAATTCAATTTAGGATATGGGTTTATTTGGGGTTTTGTTTTAGGTTATGATTCAGTTTTAGTTTTTTATTTGTGTTTTGATTTAGGATCTGGGTCTATTTGGGTTTTGTTTAGGTTACAATTTAGATTTAGTTTTTTATTTGTTTTTTGATATGGTATCTAGGTTTATTTGGGTTTTGATTTAGGTTCCGATTCAAATTTAGTTTTTTATTTAGGTTTTGATTTATGATTTGCGTTTATTTGGAATCATAATTTGTTATTTGTTTTAGATATGTGATTCTTCAACAATTTTGGATCTAGGTTTATTTGGTTTTTCATTTTGGAAGTGGCGTTATTTGAAAATCTAAGTTTGTTATTTATTTTGGATGTGTTCCATTAGCAATTTTAGTTTTGTCCGAAGAAGATGACCGGAGAGGTTTCATCGGAGAAGACGACTAGGCACGTTTAACTGGACTACTGGGCTCCCCGGAGAAGAGGTGGATTGTGGCTAGGATGCGTCAGAGTTGTACACATGCTTAAAGCATGTGTAAGATTTGATTCTTTTTTAAGACGATTGAAAAAGATAAAGCAATATGATAAAAAAAACAAATAGTAAAAAGACTTCAATACTTTTAATTTAACGGAGTTAATTAGATAGATCAAAATTGAAATCAAATGACCATAAGAAGGACCAAATTCGAAACAAAATTATAACCACATTCATTAAAACTATAATTAGTTTAAGGGGTTGTTTGTTTACCTCTTAATAGTTCCATTAAGAGGCAATCTCTGAATCGTTAAGAGGTGAATCTTGTTTGTCAAAAAAAAATTTGTCTTTTAATGGTTCAAAAACTCTCTGAATGATTTTGTATCATTGATCTCTCTTAATCATTAAGAGCCCTAATTTCATTGTACACAATTACCAAACAATTATATTTCATTTTTCACTATATCATGAGAGTCTCTTAATCATTCTGCACCAAACCATTCAGCAATTGCCAAACAACTTCTAAGAGAATACTTAGTGGATGATAACCATATGATCAAAAGTGTAATTTACGTTAAACAATTTTTTAAAATTAAATATTCAAAAAATAAAAATAGACATAAAATACCCCATTTTCTGTTTAAATGTTCATTATCCGTTCCAAAATACTTTTTTAACTTTCAATTTGAAAACGTATTCATAATATTTTTTATTCAAAACATAATTTGATTTTAAAATACATAAATCTTTATTTTATACATATAATACCTAAAAAATTATATGGATTAGAAATCAACAGTGAAACATGTATTCTTCTGATATAAATAATTAATATATTAAATATAATTAAAAAAAAATTCAATCATCGATTCGAAGATTTGAAGTGAATCATAAGCACTTTACCACATATTAGATGAAATTCAAACCATCTAGTTTACTCATTTTAATCATTAGTAATAAAAAATAATTTAAATGAATCAATTTTTTTTTACATAAATAGGTTAAAATTGTAATTTTACAAAAAATGTTTCTCAAAACAACAATATGTCACTTAAACCATAATCTTTTTCATCAAATGGACGATGAAAATTCAATTTTAGATATTGAGATCGTCAATTTTTTTCGATTAAACATTTTTCCAATAAAGTAGACATTTTGTCCAAAGTACCTCATGGTTATCAAGAACCAAAATATAATTAGATTTTAAGTTGTTCTAAAATTCGCTTTTTGTAAATAGATATTAAAAATCATTGTTTTATCTTAAATAGGACTTAGGAGTATGCTCACACAATATTCTCGCTACTTATTCTTATACGCCGACATCAAATATTCATAATGTTTCATTAGGCACTACAACTGAATTATTGTAGTACGATGTAGTTCCATGCTTGAAAAAGCAACCATGACAAACATTGTTGTCCACAAAATTGTAGTTGTAGAAACAAAAGTTGTCTATGTACCTCATCAATTTGACTATTTTGGACTACGATCCACAATAAGTGATGTATATTCAGTCGATGTCGTGATCTAAGTCATGTTTTGTACATGCTACTTCGACTTTCTTAAAAGGTGTTTCAACTTTTAATATAATTTTCCTTTATTTTATAAAAAGAAATATAACACTGTATTGATCAATTATAAATCAAGTTGATGTGATTTGTATCATGTGATACAACTTGATTTGTATTAGTAATTCATTACGTTGTTCGATTAATTCATTATGATTTGTTAAGAGGGGGTCATTCCGACAATGATCATACAATTGATCATGATGTTAGATTATGGGTTGAATGACAGTTGTTGAATAGTTTGGTGTATAATGATTAAGTGGTCAGAATGATTAAAAGACCCTCATGATATAGTGGAAAATGAAATATAATTATTTGTTAATTGTTTACAATAAAATTAGGGAGTTGAATGGTCATTGGAGGTCCATGATACAAAATCATTCATAGAGTTTTAAAATCATTAAGAGACAGACTCTTCTTTTGTCAAACAAGATCCACCTCTTAATAATTCAGATACTGCCTCTTAATGAAACTATTAAGAGATAAACAAACAACCCCTAACTCGACAATATTGGAATACTTGAATTATAGCCAATAAAGTGAAGATGAATAATAACAACAAAGCTAACTAATTAAGTTAGAAAAATGAATACAGGGCTAACTTAACTAGTAAATACATGTTAAGTCCTGGGGCTATACATAGGCTTTTGGGGTCCAATATACATAGGCAAAGCTATACATTTAATAAAATATAAATTTAAAAATATAAATTTAAAAATATCATTAAAATTATAAAAATATAAAAGTTTTCATTTTTTGTAATTTTTTTAATTTAATTTTTTTATTATAATTTAATTTAAATTTAAAGACAGAAGTAATTTATTTTTGTTTTAATAATATAATTTTTATAGAAATAATAACTAAGTATTCTGTTAGAATCAATAATTATCCTAATTATATTTTTGATTTTATGTTTAAAACAAGAATTTTATCTTGTATTAAATTATATTTATTAACAGTTAGTTATGTAAATTCAAACATGAAGCTTAATAAGTTGTAATCACGTACAATTTTAATGTAATCTTAAATTTTAAGTAATATGTATCAATAAGCAGTACTTTATATATAAAAGATGATTTTAAGGAGTTTTTGTCAAATGTTTTATAATATAGTATAGATACAGTAATTTGGAACAGAAATGAACAAGTAAAAAATAAATACTCGAAAGTTTGCAAACATAACACATGAACTTTGCAAAAATAAATATTGGAAAGTTTTCAACATTGTTGTTTTCATTAATCCTTCAAAAACATTTTCAAATCCGGAAGTATTTGAAGGCGGTGATGAATCTATTATATGACAAAAATTCGAGCAAAATTTTTATTGGATATTGGGTAAAAATTAGGTCGTATCTTGGGAGGGCAACATCAAATGTATGTCCAATTAGGACATGCAACTAGTATTTGTAGCCATGTCTGTTCAATCCTCTTTCTTGAGTATCAGCCTACAGATATGAATCTTGATTGTGATCACACACGCAAATACTCAAAAGTTGATGCTTTAAGTTATGTGATATGATTTCATCTTACTTGATTAGTTGTAACTATGTTATCTTTTATTATATATTGACTTATTTTTTCTGCACAAAATTTGAAAAATAATTATAGGAGTTTTCATAAATACTATTTCTAAAATGCATCAGATGAATATAGTTATCAAACCAAGATAGGTATTTTACGCATTGAAAGCCCATGATCTAGCACCTGGGGTACCGAAATGAGAAAAACAAGAACCAAGAGTATAAGATTTGTAAACCTTGTGAAAATGGGACGGTGGACGCAGTGATATTTGGATAAATATCACCCATCTCATTCCTATTCCATCAATAAAATTAAGATATATCAGATTTTTATTTATCTTAAATTTATTTAATTCATGTTTATTTTCTCTTTGTACTTACATGTATTTACATGATTGATGGAAATAAACAAGATGTGAAAATTTAAAAGAAGTGATTTTTATCCGTCAAATTTATGTGGATTCATTAATGTCGGTGTACTATAAAGGTAGGCCAAGTGGGTGTGGGTGTGGGTGTGGGTGTGGGTGTGGGTGTGGGTGTGACACCCTTCTCCCCCTTGCTAGCTACTCCACTCTCTCTCTCTCTCTCTCTCTCTCTCTCTCTCTCTCTNCTCTCTCTCTCTCTCTCTCTCTCTCTCTCTCTCTCTCTCTCTCTCTCTCTCTCTCTCTGGATATAAGATTTTTTTTGAAATATATAATATTTATATAAGTTAAATAAAATAAAATAATTTATACATCTTTTTCATTTTTGGTGAGTTTGAACCTCTAATCTATTAGGATGCCAAAAACTCACATATCGCTAGACTAAAGCACCTTTGATATAATGTATATACAAGACATATTAATGGTGTATGTGTTTGTTTTTTACTATGATATATCTAATTGTTCTTATCTTGCGCTGAAAGGGCATCCAATAAATTAAAGGCAAGAATTTGATAACCAAGCCAAACCCAAAGGTTTCATGCAACAACCGACCAAAAAACCCAAAGAGAAATGTACGAATTTGAGGACAATATCTGCAACTACTTCATTGTTGTGATTATAAATTAACAAACGAAGTTGATATGCCTATCGTCTTATCGAAATAAATATCGTACTTAATCAAAATTAATAATATATTCTCAAAAGACAGTGTCGGTTGATACATTTACAAGATGAAACGAAACATAATTGACTAACAACTTTTACAAACTTGTTAACTACATACGTTTTCTTTTATCACTAGTTGTGTACTTGTACGATGTACCGAGACATAAATGGTTAAATCATCAGAGAAGAAAATCTAGAATATATTTGAAGAATAAAGAATTTTATAATGCTAATTATAATCGTAAACACCTGTACATAAATGGTTAAATTTGATAACTTTGATTTTACCTAAATATATTATAATTACCTAATTTTATTGATTTTTTAGTGTTGCTTAAATTGATAGTATTATGTGTAATTATATGATGATTTGATGGTAGGGACTATATTTTATGTGAGATGATGTACCAAAAAACTAGTAGGTGAAGTAACGTGAATGGTTTTAATTAGCTGGGGAATCGACTTTTTGGAAAGCATCTTTGATGTTAATTTTTTTATACATAAAGTTAATTAGAATTAATTAATTAATTATGATTATGGTTATAAATCTGCAACAATTAAGGAACCATTCCACAAAACCACTAACCGCTTTAATGCTTTCCCCCCACCTTTCTATTTAAAATTTAAACAAAACATACTTTATGCATATATCGTTTACCTATTGACTTCATATAATTAATAAATTATATATCCATTTATAAAACAACTTCTTTTGAGTTTAATTTCATCCCATATTCTCACACATTGTTGTATGGTATTAAACTTGAACTCCAATAAATTTAGTTGGTTAGAAAAATAATACATCAAAGTTAGGGATTGTTTGGTAGTTGCTGAATGATTTGGTGTAAAATGATTAAGTGGTTAGAATTATTATGAGGCTCTCATGATATAATGCAAAATGAAATATAATTGTTTGATAATTATTGACAATGAAATTAGGGCGTTGAATTATTAAGGGATGCACAAAATACAAAATCATTCAAAGGGTTTTAAAATCATTAAGAATCAAAACTTTTTATTCAGTCAAACAAGATTCACCTCTTAATGATTCAGTGGTTGTTTCTTAATGGAACTATTAAAAAGTAAACAAACAATTCCTTTATATATATATATATATATAGAGAGAGAGAGAGAGAGAGAGGGGGGGGGGGTTCATAGAAAACCCAAAAAAATAAAAAAATTAATATATAATAAGTGTGCATTTAAGTAATTGAAATATTTTCTATTTTTATGCAAGTGTACATGTTATGCACATATACATATCGGATAAATTACTTGTTTACACATATACATACTAGATATATAAATAGTTATTATAGTGTTTCAAAAGTTTTTTTAATGGTTTTTTCCTATGTGTCATATATATATATGGCTCTAACCATCTTATGAAACCACAAATCCAGATCGGGTTTATCTTTTATAAAACAAGATAAATTCTTTAATATGTTGTCGGCTTCATGTTTCCAAGAATCTTGCTTCATTATTTACAAATTAATGTTTATTCATTTTCTTTTTAGTATTTTACTTTTTTTTTTTTTTTAAATTATCCGTCCCAGGCCTACTATACCCATACCCATGACATATATTCCGTTTTAAAAAGACATGATACTTAATTAATGCATACTTTTATTGGTAATTAATGAACAAAATGATAATGTTAATAAATAAGTAAATTAATTTAAATTCGAATAGATTAATTTGAAAAATAATGATGAGAATAAATAAGATTATTTGTATTCTTTTCATACGTCAAATAAGATTAATTTGAAATATTTCACATGCATTGGTAGCCTTTTATTTAATTTAATTACAGGTGATTAAGAAACAATATGTTACAAAATAACATTATACAAATTGAAATACATGCATAAGTATATAAAATATATATATATATATATATATAAATGAAATATCATGTGGGAATAAGAGGTAATGTAAGAAGCGTAAGAAAAGATCTGGACCCTTAATATATCATTAGTTTGATTGTAAAAACATCAAACTATTTCTTAAAACATATACACTTCTAATTAAACTAAAGTTTTTTAACTGTGATCAATTTGACGTATACGCAAAAGTAAACGTCGTTTTAAACAAAAAGAGTGACAATTGCGAAATCCACAAATCCTTTCTAAATCTCATCATCTCATCTTTTCAAAAGTTAACTTACGTATACACATATATTACAATAAAAAATTAGTCACGGTATTTGTATCATTTTTACTCCATGTAAGTCAAAAAGTTCTAACAACTATATTCTATAACCACTTCTATTTTCGGAATTTGTCAATAAAACCATATAAAGTATATTTTTTAAAATATATTTATAATTAATATAAGATATACTGAGATTGCGTCTGATATACAGGTTTCTTACTCTATTCGATTTATTAAGTATTTTAAACTTTTAGATTATTAATAAAATATTTTATTAAATTTGTAGTAAAGTCTTACCCTTTATGTTTTTTTTTCAGAAAAAAAAAGGTTATTGTGGCTTTAGTTGGCTTGGCGCGTCGACCCCAAAGCCGCGCCACCAACGTGTTCCCACGTAAGCAGCTTGATATCCTATTGGCTTAGAGCCTGCAAACCCATGGGGTACTGACAAATGTCCAAACAGTGATGGCATCTGTTTTGTTTCTTCGTGACTAAGCCAAAAACATCAAACACCGGGACCCATATTGCTGATGTCAGTATCTTTTAAAAAGCCACGGTGGTCCCCACCCCTTGAGTGCCGCCTGACTCAAAAGCATTATCAACCTTTCGTAACTAAAATCAGTTGGTCGTCTGGTTATCAATGATACGCTCGTCGTGTTTTTATTTTATTTTATTTTATGTATTTAAAATTTATGTATAATATGTTTTATTAATATTTTAAATTAAACTATTAATATTATGACCGCAATGCCCTTGGATGGACCCTACCAACTGTTGATGCTTTGCTCCTTAAATACCGCCTCCCAACCAGTCGTTTCTTCCCTTTCCTCCTCCTACCTTCCTCCACCGTATAGAACACTTTTCCGACCATGTTGTCATCAGTTTTTCCAGCCACCGGAGTCCGCATGCCGTCCGACCTTTTCCTTGGAACTGGATTTACCCCATGGGACACCGTTACGGTGGAAACTCCCTTTGTTTACCCACCTCAAGAATCGGTTTTCTCGTTCTCAGGTTCCGACGACTCCACCCCAAAAACAAATAGCTCTAACTCCGGCTCCGACGACGGGGAACCCGAGCAGAACCTACCGGAAGTCGACCCAATTGACGAACGTAAGCGGAGACGGATGATATCCAACCGGGAGTCAGCACGGCGATCCCGCATGAGAAAACAAAAGCACTTGGAAAACCTGAGGAACCAGGTGAACCGGCATAAGACAGGGAATCGAGAACTAATGAACCATTTACGGTTTGTAAGCCACCATGGACAACTTGTACGGCAAGAAAACGAAAGGCTCCGATCGGAATCAGTGATGCTCCGGCAAAAACTTGGGGACATACGTCAAGTACTGCTCGTCCGGCAGCTCCAGAGCCAGTTATTTTCGTCTGCATGGCCATGCAACAACAACGTGACGTCCATGAATGAACAAAACCCACCGTCATTAATTACATAAAGCTTATATATATATATAGATATATATATATATATATATCTATCACTAAGTTAAAACATAAGAGTACGTGCATGAAAACAGTGGCAACTCACTGATCTATATATATTTGTAAAGTGGAATGAAGTGGTTGGAGGAATTGTAGGTACGTAATGGGAATTTGAAGCTTTTTTGTTTTTGGAAAATGAAGGTTTTGGTTGTTTTTGTCAAAACCAGAGTTATCATTTTGTATAGTTTCAGGCACGTGTTTGGGTTATGCCTTATCATAATGAAGTGTTAATATTTGCAGTTTAATTTGCACCTTGGAGTCCTTCGTACATATATTATATATAATTGCTTCATTCTTTAATTTAACTTAAAAATATGAATAATTTTATATTCAAATTTTCTTAATTTTTCATTATATTTATTCATTTTTCATGATTATTTATACTATACGCATATATAGTTCTTAATTTAATTGGTAATCTAACATCACATGAGACCAATCAAGATTTCGACATATCTGATTTGCAACTTATGTTTACGAAAATTCACAAATTAATAACAAAAGAAGTGTGCGTATATAATTACTTTTCTACATATAGTTGTTATCACCGACAGTGAACTCTTTATAATATATAGAAGCGTATTGTGGGATTTTAACCCCAAAAAATGTCAAATTTACGCTCTAAAAGAGTTCTTAAGGAAAGAAGAAATGTTGCATTATATCTAAAGAATAAAAAGTTCAAATGTAGCTGATGTAAAACTATAACAAGATTAACATAATTTAAAATGAAAAAGTACAAGTAAAAAAACGATTTCATGGAACGATAATTAATTAGCATGGAAACCTAACTTAGATTTTCTCCATCTTAACACAAGGGGTCAACACACTGATTAAGAATCCAATCAAAAGTTCAAAAAAACATGATGAAGCACCATCTGACATGAACAATGAAAGATAATACGTTCAATGTAACAAAAACTTGTAAAACTAAATCCCTTGGGTGGTTAATTAACCATGTAGATTGCATGCTTATACCATACCACATAGCCAAAGGTGTCACCCATAAATCTTCTTTAATATAACAAATCTTAATTAAATGTAACATATATTTTGAAACCGAAAAATAAACAATAATAAAATGTTAATTAGTTAGTCAATAAAAGCAAACACCATACCAACGAATATAAAAGAAAGGGCATGTCAACTTAATAGGAAAGGACCTAATATTTGATTAAATAAATTGACTTGCAAACACACATATAATACCGAAATAACTGTTATTTATATTCCAATAATTGAACGGGTTTATAATTAAATAAAATGTTTATTACTATTTAAAGGATATTGAGACATGTCCATAGATCATGGCGAATGGGGTTTCATTTTATAATGCAATTAGGCACCTCCACTTATTATTATGTTATTCATTTTCATTTGTTTTTTTCTTAATTACATCTGATTTTAATTGTCGATTGGGCTTCACCAAGTGTCGTTTTTTTTTTTTATCATAACATATTTAAATGTCAAATTAAATGTGTCCTCAATCTAATACAGGTTTATTATATATTAAAAAAGTTTCAAGAATATATATATATATATATATATATGTGTACACACGTTTGGAGGTATCTAAATTTTACCAATACAAAACGAGAGACATTTTTGATGGACTTGTTGGGTGCAACTTTTGTGTTCCGTTGGTAATTGAATCGAAACCAACAATCCATGTGTATATGTGTTGTCATATTTCAATTGAAAATAAGTATAGTTTGTGTTTGTCTTTATGTAAACTACATTCTATCGAATTTAGTTTATTTTAACGAACATTAATTATAAAGTACTTTACGACATTGAAATGTAATAAAAATTGGTTATGTGGATGAGGTAGGAGAAAGATGGAGACGTTATCATAAATAAATAATGAATGCGAGGTATTACCGGAATAATAAAACATATAAGGATGGTTAAGACGTAAACCAATCAACAATTAACAAAGAGAATGTGTAAACATCGTCCCCTACCACTTAATTAATCAACTTGTTAATAACCCTTTAATTATTGATCAAGTGGGCAATAAAGTTAACCATTTCATCTTTTTCATGCCACAAAATGGATATTCCTCGCATATTTTTTTAATTTTACTTGTTAATATTATATATATATATATATATATATATATATCTAATAATTAATAATTATCCAATTTCAAGCAATTTTATTTTATTTTTCTATTCTGCTTTTTCTATCCCTAAATAATATCTAATTAATATTTGACTAATTATTTAATTATTAGTTTCGTATCTACTAATACAATCATAAAAAAAAAAGATTACATCTTCTTTGAAGCTTATAATTATGTGAATTCGGAACTTATTAATGTGATATTTGTTGACCAAACACAAATCTACTTTGCTTGTTTTGTATTATTGAGAAAATTTTGAATTGTGTTTTCTAATTATATTTTCTTTTGTCTTAATTCTTCATCTATTTATATACCTGAAACGGTACGCTATATTTATTTACAAATACTTAATGACATAATTTTATGTTATGATATAATCACGTGGATTTTATTTTCATTATCATGCTTTGAAATAATGTTTTTTAAAAAAATTAATAAATAAGAGTTGTTTGATGAAAATAATGTTTAAAAATGGAATAATGAGGTAATTAATTAATTTTCTAAAAACAGAAAGTCACTCTCAAATAGAAATAAAATACGGATAGAGTAGGTATGGAAAAGAAATATAAGTTTGTTTTTTTTTCCTTTTCTTTTATATTTATATTTATTATTATTATTTACCCCTCCACTTTTCCATTTTGTTTTTATAATTGTAAATTAACAATTCAAATTATTGATCGAATCCGAACACTCGACTTGTCTTACTAAACATATATTGAATAAGTAGTTAAATGGTTTTAAGGTTCAGTGTTTAGGGTTTAAGGTTATGACCATCTAACATTTATATAAATATAAATAATTTTATTGTTTAAATCTTTTAACTATTCTATACATAATATTTGAGATATAATTTGGAAGAAAAATCATACCCATGGCCATGATCATGTTACACATATATTTCTTCGGGCTCAGTTTTCTCTCGAGTCTCGTCTCGTCTCGTCTCGTCTCATGTAAATAAAAGTAGCTCGTAAAAAACATTAACTATAAAAGTGAAAATAAAATATATTTTAAAAAAAGATAGAAAAAGGAAATGATCAGTTTAGAAACAGCTTTGATAAGTGATAAGGCAGGGGGTGTCCTTTTCTTTCCTTCTCATGTAAGTTATAAAGACGTTTCACCAACTTATTAACCCTTTTCTAGTAACACATTCAAATCACAACATATAAATCAATCGCATTTCCTATAAGGATTTCCAAAACAATTGGTGATCCAAGATCGCACGACAATAGAATTAGATTTTTAAGACACTAAAAATGTCCGGGTGTCTTAACGGATTACTTTATAAAACTTGAGTTGATTTATAAGACCAAACACTTGTGTATTTTGTTTAAAAGTGTTGTAATAAGTTTATAAGACGTTTTTGGGCTCTTAACAAACTTTTTATAGCACTTTCTAAAACCATGTGTAATATTAGCTCATTCATATGACACTATTTGAAAAAAAAATGACTTATAAAACAAACATTCTATAAAAGATATATGTGTTTATAGAACATGTATCAAAAGTGTCCTACAAAAAGGCTAGCAGGACATTTTCAATCACAATTATCCTTCAAATCTTTGTAGGATGGGCGACAAATTTATAAACTTATTACAACACTTTTAGATTTGACATATAAATGTTTGGTTCTAGAAACGCATGCAAGTCTTGTAAAATAATCTACTAAGACATTTAAACATTTTTGGTATACTATAAACCCAATTTTGTTGCGGCAGTATCAACTCCTTTTCTATTTTAATTTAAAAAGAAAGTATACTTTATAACTGAAATGCTACTTGATGTAAAATGAGATAATCTTCATGTCGATATATTTATCTTTTGCAAGTATATGCTTACAAGTTATATACGGGACTTCTTCCTTTTTCTTCTTCATCACATGCTATTTGCCTATATCATGTTTCAAGGTATCTAGAATTGATGTTGTACTTTTCTTCGGAACCATCATGATCAATTGTCTCTGATTAAACGGTCTTCAAATTTTAATTGGTTGTTTAATTAATTTAGACAGACAAAATATTGGTGGCATGTGCAAAGCATGATTTCAAGTGTTGTGGCAACTAGGATTTCTTTTGATGGCAACACGATTGTTTGGTGTTATTAGCCTTGTTTTTTTCTTGGTTTTGAGACTAATGGCTAGATTGACTTGCATGGTAACGGCGTAGTGGTACCGAGGTTTCAAATGTCTGACCCAACCTCTGATGGTGATGGTGTAATGGTACCTAGTTTTGAGACTAATGGCTAGGTCGACTTGCATTCTAGCCAAATTGATCGCATTCTCGTTTGAATCTGACCCAACCCTTAATTTTGTTTATTTTGAAATTTAGAGGCCGTTGTCAAATGCGGTTGAGAGTAAATTTAGGAATAAATTTAATCAACAACGTTGATTATCTACACGTATAGTTGTGATTGGTTCGTAAAGTTTGTATTAATTACAGGAATTATATTATATACATTTCTTTTGAGAATTTATAAAATTATTAAAACTCATTAGAATTGGTGCACAAGTGCAATTTCATATAGTTTTTTTCCATCTAAAACTAAAATTTAGAATATGAATGACATATATTTGTTTAACAATGTGTTTGTTTCACATGTATTTATTTCATGATATGAATCTTTTTAGTCTCTAAAAGTTACATGTAAAAAGATTTTACATTGTGAACCACAAACATATGAAGCAAAACACATTGTGAAACAAATATATGTTCATCAATATATTTAAAGTTAGCATTAGATGATAAAAAAAATATGTGAAACAATAGCTTTAAGATATAAAATTTTCACGGTTATCATAGTATACGCAAGTTCTGAAATAATTAATCCCTTACATAATTATTAGAGTAAACTACAATT